AAGTTCGTGTCAAAAATTGACAGCGAAAGATTGGAGTTGCTACTGTAGAGATGTACGTGAGCGCTATGTCAGATTTGTACAGCGATCAGCAGACTAGAGGTGTGAATTCACTCCCTCATCCACGCAACAGCTGGATTAAAGCACTAGGTTCAACGCTGAAGCGAGAAAAACACGGAAAAAAAGCTAATATGCTAACCGAGGCTTGCGGATCTCTCCTGGATGGGTACTGCACCACAGCCGATCTGGTTGCAATTTCTCGTTATTATATGGGCCTGAACACAGGTGCTGATCTACGGAATCGGATGAGTCATTTCCTGTGCCACGCATGTCTCTTAAGAGGCGAGTCTTTCCCGTAATTTGGAGTTACCTGACCTTTTTAGTGTGATTCTGGAACACGAAGGATTTACAGATTGCCGGGCACTAGTCATGATAATGGAGCAGGGGGAAACAAACCGGTTCGGCCGTCGTGAGTTTGGTTCGTGTATTAGGCACATCAATGTTGAAGTTTGCCCAGTTGGGGCACTCACTCTGTATCTGTTTTATCGCTGGTGTGTGCAAATGGAATTGCTACCTAACTTTCTGGCCCCTGAAGACTGGTACGACATCAAACTTCTAAAGTCAAACAAGAATCCAACAAAATCAATAAAATACCGATCGCATTACGACCCCACTATAAAGGCGTTCACAGCATTAGGCATGCATACGAAGGCTAAGACACATGCGGCACGGGGTTCAGGAGCAAGGATGGCCGAATTAGCAGGTGCTACAGATTCACAAATTCGTCGGTTAGGAAGGTGAAAAGCATCCGCAATGGAGGGCTGTTACCTAAGCGCTTTGCCACGAGAAGCGATGCGGTCTCTAGCAGGATTTTCCCCTGACAAACGGTCGTTTTCTTAGAGCGGGCAGCTCTTCTTTCTCTGAGCAGCTTCAGCGTGGCGTATTTCCCTTGTCGATGATATATGGGTACATACAAACAACAGTCAGCACCCCAACTAAGCCACCGGGGGGCTTCTGGAGATTAATAGCGTAGCTTGCATATAGGTTTCCTAACAGACGGAGTATTGGTGGGCGGGACCCTTCCCCGCAACCCCTAAAATTAGGGGGCTCCACCTTCTCACTTTTAGGGTGCCAGGGAGTTTTAACCCATTTGGCAAGCTGAGCTGAAAAACCAAAATGCTCACGGAGAAATCACCGCAAGCGGATCATTTGAATGACGTTATCCCAGATTTAATGCGGCATCTAAGACAGCAGCAAGAACAAACACTGGCACACATTGATAACAAACTTAGCGAAGTCGGTAATCACATTAAGAATACGATTTCACAGCTTACCTCTGGTGCCGCCACCGTACGTTTGACCTTGGACTTGAACACACCAACTGCTGCAACCTCGGCTCCAGCTCAGACTGCGCAGCTACCCACGACGTACAAGCTCACGAGATCTCTCAAAACGGTTCATCTAGTATGGCAGGAGTGGACGACGGGAATTAATGGTGGTCCTGCTGTACGCGAATTGAAGAAGCTACATGGATCCAATTGGCGTAATAATCCAGCCGAAAAACGATTCTACTTCAGGCGCAAAAGAATTATTATTCGAGTTAATCGGACCGCACAGGAATAGAAAGTTTATGAAGATGAAGCAGTCTGGCTC